CCCCTCGCTTCGCTCCCTGCCTCCACTCCTGTCTCTTCCCACAGCGCGCTGGGATTCGGGGTGGCCGCGGGCCGGGGCGACGCAGCCTGCCTGTTATCTAAAAATAGGGTGGAGTGTTTTTCCCACTATTTACTTGATTTCCTGCTGGGGCGGTGAGCCTGCCGAGGAATCCATTGAAGTGCCGGGGAGTTCACGCCATGTAAATACAGGGGAACAAGCTGCTTTTTAGACCTTATTTTTCCATGCGGGAGCAAATGGACGGCAGCAGGGTACTTGCCCGGCGCAGCCCCACTGTTTTGGGATGCTTGTTTCTGTCTCCCAGGGGACATCAGACCCTGCCACCCCTGTCCCCGTCCCCCCAGTGCCACCCGTGTTTGTGGTACCCACTATCCTGCCTGCGTAGCTCTTAATTGCCGACTTCTTCTCCTTAAATAACGAGGAAAGCTGCAAGCAGATAGTCAGCCACCACCTTTAGCCCAAGCAAACAGCTGTAACCGAGTTATAAATCCTTAAAATTGAGTTTTTAATAGAAACATTAAAATAACCTTTATCTATTAGCGATAGAACTGCGCTGGGGTAATTCATCATGTTGTTTCTTGCTCGTCCAGCCACACCTTATTAGTTCCCGAGCTAACGAGGGGATATGTATCCTGCGCTCTCATGGAGTGCCATTGGGCAAACACCCAAGCCCTGACAGTGCTGCGGAAGCAGGGAGATGCTGAGCATCCTGCATCCGACCGATGCGTTCCTGGGGTGAGCCAGATCATCCCCAGTCTTGGCCAGGGAGGGATTCCCTGGTTTAAATGATGCCAGGATCCAGGTTTTATAGCGGCCAGGAGCCCCTCGCCGGGATGTTTGCTTAGGAGGATGGCAAATAATACAGAAGTTGGGTGTTTGAGGTCTGCTCGTGGAAATCTTGGTAATTGCTTGAGAGTGAAGGGAAAGCGTGGGGTTTTCCCAATCCGAGGGAGCTGCAATACGCAGTGAGAGCTCTTGCTCCACCGGGAAACACTATCAGGTGTTAGATGTGCATTGCTGTAGTGTCATTTATGTGCCTGTTTGTGTCCTCATGCAACTGTGCTGACTCCGAACCCACTTTCCTCCAGCGCAGCCCTGCCCGGGCATCACAGGGATGGGGGTTTGGACCAGGACGGAGCGGCCTTTCTCAGCACCCACGGCTGCAACACTTGGGGTGCGGGATGCAAGGGAGGTCTGGGTTCCCCGTCTGATCCTCATCAAAATCATTGCTACATCTCTGCACGCCTTTGGCAATCGGTGCCTGGTTTTATTCCTCCAATTAGTGATTTAGGAAAGCTTGGGTTGCATGCAGTGGGGCTCGTCCTCTGAGATGGGAGGATTTTAGTGTTGGAGAACCGGACGGTCACTGCCTGCGCCGAGCACGTGGGCTGGGATGCTGCCACCCCGGAGATCCAGGAAACCCTGGAAAGAGGGACTGGAGGTGCCAGCAGCAGACTCGGTGGGCTGGCAACCTGGGTCGAGCTCTCCGTGACGCGAAGCAAGGCAATAATTCCCTTTGCAATTGCGCTTTTTCTTGCAGAGCTCCAGACAGCTCTATTAATCTTTGCTAGGGAAATACCCACCCAGTTTGGCTGGGAGGCAGCCCAGATAATGAAAACTTTCATAAAGTAAGGAAAGAGCCTGACTTAGCTTGTGTATCCAGAGGCAGGGTCAGCTCAGAGAGCCTCTGCCCCAGGAGGAGGGCGAGACAGGTAATAAACCATCCCTCTCCCCCCGGCGCTTAAAACCCACAATAAATCCCAGTCAATTCCTCTGGAGCAAAGCTGCTTTTTGATTATCATCATTATTATTATTATTATTATTTTT